TCATTTTCAGGAAAGATATATTTTGTGAAAGAATGGTTATCGCGTTGTTACTTATCCATCTTTATATAAAAAAATGTAGGAATCTTGAATATAACTGACCGATTGTTGATGAAAATCTATATCAAAACTAATTAATACACTTTATATTGAAAATCATACAATAAAGTGTATCAATTAGTTTTTTATGTAGGAATCTTTCGAAGAAAGGAAGAAAACAAAGGATTTCATATGATAATCATTATTATTTTAAGAATAATGCATTTATTTTGTATGTTTATAAGTTCTTTACTTTTTACATGAATTTATTAACATTCAACAGAACTTTGACTCTATTCTAATACAGATGTAACGAATTCAAAGCAATAATATATTTTAGAAATCGTGGATAACTCTCTAAAAGCGTGAAGCTGGTGAAATCAACCACTAATTGTTCTCTTCATCACTCCTCAACCCAGGAGAAACTCATGAAAATATTATTGGAGATGTTATCAAAATCTATACATACCTTCATGCTGAGAATTTACTAGGATGTGTATCAAAAAAATACTTTTCATATAATAATGAAACAGCAGAATAGTTATCTAGAATACCATTACACGAATCGTTTAGCAGTAAGTTATTGACCGATTTCATTTTCTCAACAAATTATATTCTCCAAACTACTCGTTTATCGGTATCAACAAAACCGTCTGAAAGGTAATTTTATATTTTTTCCGATAAGTCATGTCCTTATCAATAATTTCAAATGAGCCAAATGAACACGTCCGTTAGTTATTCACCACCTGTTTGTTCAATTTCAACAGAATTGCCAAAAAAGTACTAACATGAAAAAAATCAATGAGATTCAACTTGACATGGGCATCTCAGAATCGACACTACTGGCCAGGAATGTTTCGCGATATTGCCAAGTATGGCGATATATGTCATGCCAACGTATTAGGTATCACAGACGAAACCCGTGGGTAAGATGCAGGCATCTCGCAACCAGCACTCTTAGAAATGTGTCAGCACCTATTTGATAGGGCTATTATTTGATTTTGGTCGAGTGAACCATTTCCTTGTAGTATTCCAGGACCCATTCACTAAATGAAGATGACATCACATGGATTGGCTGTCCCTATTCGATAACAACACTCAAGCAGTCAGATTCTCGAGGACTTCCTAAAGGATCTCTTCATTACACACCACCGCACTCCGCGGGATACACCGCAGGCAAACTACGTAAAGCATATAAATGAGACGCGCAAGACGTTGATCGCACAATTTCGCGAGATCGAACACCACGAATGGAGTCAACATCTACTCGATCTCATGTTCGGTCTAAATACCGGCCGTCACGACTCAACGAGATACACGCCCGCTTTTCTGATCTCCGGGGGAGAGCTAGAAGTACCCAAAGAAATCCATCGAAATACAGAAGTATCCAGGTAGTTGAAAACTGACTTTCCGTTACACAAACAAACCGATTTCAACCTCATCGTGGCTAAAACATTTACTTAGCAAAGTCGCCATTAAAACTTTCGGCGTTGTGGATGATGATGTCATCCTGGGGTGTGAGTGACTGAACGGAAACATCATCTATCCGCCAAAGAGAAGGGCTCTGTCACGAAACTAGCACCTAAATAATCAGCGTCGTGATATGAATCATCTACCCCGTGGTCTATAATCTAAAGTCTGGAACGTGAAAGAAATGCCTGTGAATTAATGTCAAGGAGTTGCCCCTCATACACATCGAGGATGATTCCCACCATTCCCAATGCGAAAGCGCCTAGACTAGTGGTAGATCGATCCGACCCCAGCACCAGAGGGCCAGGCAGCACTTTGCAGATTTCAGGATTAAATTGGTTTTACTATTTTTATAAGAAAGGCCGTTATTAGTTTTTTGGTAGATTTGTAACGGATGAATCTGCCCTCTACTGAAGATTGTTTTGGAAAGGGTGAATCAATTTCAGAAACAGTTGAATTGAAAAAGAAACGATTAATAGGTTGATATGGGCGTGAAAAGAAGTTACTATTTTCGCATACAGAAGATATTTGTTTAATAGCAGTTTATCGAATTTTCTATCAAAATTTTCACGTTTCCAACAGAATAGTTGTATCTCTGTTATTTTTGTGTATAAAAATATTGTTCTTGCTTGTGGAGTGCCAATAATTCATTGCGCTTATTCGTTCAGCTCCGTAAATGTTGAAAACCTCCTGTATAATTCCTGACGATCCCGAATGTTATTCGGGGTGCCTGATCCGATGGCTCAACTTTATCACTATTCGAAGCCGACCGCAGTGCTGTGAAAGATACGTATTCCTCGAGCCAACCCTGAACTAATTTGTTTATCCTGCATACATCGGAAGATAAAAACCAGCAATAACTATTTTTTTTCTCGAAATGTATTTTCAACAATGAATGAAAGATGAAGACCGGTAATTGCTGATATCCATTCTTTCTCTTATAATGGATCATTGTTCGTAGGGGTGCGACAGCTGGTTAACGGAAAAAACAGATTTCAAACAGATTGCATTATATAATTTATTTCGATTTTTTTTCGGAGAAAACTTTTGGAACAAAAATGAACAAGATTATATTACTAGTCCCCAAACACTTTCCTTTAGGATCTTATTTAGACATAAATAACTCAAATTTTACCAACTGTTGTTACCTCTACGTGATCACGTTGAGTGTACACTTTTGATATTTTAATGGCCGGAGGCTCTTTAAGTAAAAAAAAGGAAGTAATAATTAAATATATACTAAATATTAGCTTTCCAGCGGAAAGAGAAAACTAATAAAATCATGCAGCTTATCTGAATGATTGATGACGAGGATGGTTCAACTGACCAACGGCACACGGAATAGTAGTCACAGACCTCCAACTTGGAATCGTCGTTACGGAACTCGAACGTTCAAATAATTCGCGGGTGGGTTGCAATTTTGTCGTGAAACAAAACTGTTTGCTTTGTTTCCCGAGCCTCAGTGCGAGCTCCGCCCACTCTGAGGACACAATTGGAGAACTGGAAAATATGTTTTTCTATGATATTTCAGCTCAGTTATGAAAACTCAGCATTGGAATATCATCTCCTAAGTGTTAGAAAAATCTCTTGCAAGATTAATAGCATTCGTTTAGATTCCTACAATAGGGGAAATGGCGATTTTCTTGAAAATGCCATTTTCATTCAGTTAGATAGGGAAATCATGTTTTCTTCAAAGTAACACCGATAGAACTTTTAACTAGCTTTCTTTTGATACCAGAACCATTTCTGTAGTGTGACTGGTTCAGATTTTATTCAGACTTTTGTCCGGTGCGAAATTCGAAAGAATTTCGCCGAAATCTTCGAGCAAATCGTAAGTTTTGTTCTGGCGAAATTGGGTATTGCCGGTCTCTTGAGTTAGAAAGAGACAGAATGATGATTATCGAAACACATACGCATTGGGGATTTTCAAATGCATTTTACAGCCATAAGGAGTCAAAATATCGAAAATTGTTATTTAACTTTTAGGCTCGGATCGTTGAATACTATCCGAATATGAAGTTGAAATTTTTCTGGGACAAATTTGAGAAATCAGAACATTTCCGTTATTATCATGTCTTTGTTCGTAACGGTTTCGCCTTAGGGCAAAATCACGCCACCGGCTAGCCGGCGTGTGATTGGCTGGAAGGAATCGCGTGATTATTGATTTTCTGGTCGATCGAAATAGATGTGATTTTTTGAGCGATGTGATTGGCTGAATGGAGTTCGTCCACGAATGTATAAATATACAGGTTTTTGCATTCAACGGTCAGATACTTTTCAGATTGACAGCACGTTAGATTGAGATTTGTAAAGACTTCTACAAACCATTTTGCGATATTTGGCTGGTGATTGAGATATTCTGCAGTGGATTATTGAATATTTTTCTGGGATATTACAAGGATTCATTTATATTCGATAGTTCTTTTTAGAACTGAAAGAATTTGTTGATTTTCTAGTTCTTTTCAGAACTAAAAGATTTCATTTGATACTTTTCGGATTTTTAGGTGACTTTTGTCAAAAGAATTCGTTCGTTTTTCGCTGGATCTCTTCAGAACCAAATAGAGAAAAACTTCTTCGACTTTTAGGTGGTTTTCGTTGAATGAATTCGTAGTCTTTTCAAAACTATTTTAGAGACGCTTAAGGGTTGGACTTATAAAGTCAATTGGACTTAGATCCGGAGTTCTAGGAAAGTCAATTGGACTTAGATCCAAAGTCCGAGGAAAGTCAGTTGGACTTAGATCCGGTGTTCGAGGAAAGTCAGTTGGACTTAGTTCTGGACGTCGAGGATTTTCTTGGATGGTAAATCTCTGGTCCTTTTCAGGACCCGTTAGAGATTTTCAGAAGCTTTGAGGATTGATTTTTGGAATTCGATTTTCTTATTGCTCAACCGTACCTTACTCTGTGCAGGTTTCTGCTTGGCCAAAACCCTACAAAGGAAAAGTAGGTCTCCACTAAAGTTGTCCACTCTCAGGTACTAAGGCTAACCTTGCGGTGTTAACTGGCCTGGTATAACAAGATTAAAGCGGGGGAGTCAAGCCATCATTAGATCAGCCTCTGGGCTATCGACTCAACGTAACCGTTGGGACCCTCCAGGACTACGATACCTTTTATCCACACTTCCTGCGGACGGCCCTTATCCTAGGGTGCGGTTCATCAGGTAGGTTCCGTGATCCTTTACTATTAGCTCAGTTCACTCTGTAGGTCTTGGTTAGGAAATTAATTTCGCGATACGAAAGTGAACTTAAAGTCTTAGCTTTCCGTGAATCCTCCCCTCTGCCTATCTCCAAGTCAGAGTCATTTTAGGGACTTTTCAAATCGAGAATGCAGACTAGGGCCAGACAAGCGCGAGCGCAACTTGCAATGAATACGACAGTGCCAAATCGCGAGGTCACCCATTTCGACCAAATTTATCCTTCTTCAGACAACTTTAGTCGCCCTTGTGCGACTTCGACTGAACGACGAGGAATCCCAATGGAATCTGTGTTCGCAGGACAGTATTCCAAGAACTCCAGCTGAGACATCTAGTCTGAGGATGTCTCATGCTAAACGTACTATTTCTGCCAACGAGGACACAAGTACCTCTTCCGTGGTCGCAGAGCGATAAATCCCCGGCACTTTCGGTTCCACTGCAAGACGTATAGATAGAAACACCGAACTGTCACAAAGGACTCAGTCCTCAAAGCGTAGTAATAATTCGGACATTCAAGTTTTATTAAACCGTATTAGGGATTTTAAAACTCCAGAAAACCTACAGAATAGCATTTTCCAGGAGGAAAATGTCGCCAGGGAACATCAGGAGATGTTTCCCGAGAAGCTTCCCAATAAGGGAAAAACTTCGCAAACCCAAAGCGCGCCCCAGTTAGGGCTACGCGCTATGATAAATGCAGCAAGGAAACCCGCTATACCGAGAACGGTTGCGAAGGGAGAGATGAAGGATGGAATCCCTCCATAAAGAATAAGTTAGAAATCGAATATCAAAAATGCTCGAAAATGGAATGATTCGAAATGTTTTCAGTCCTTGGTCAAATCCTAATATTGATATTAGGGACCTAAGAAATATGATGCGACTGCAACCCAAAAGTGGCGCATTTTCGTTGACTATAGAAAATTGAACAATAAAAGTATACAAGACCGTTTTTCTTTACCCAATATCGATGATATATTAGAAAAATTAGAACGAGCACAATATTTCACGTTAGATTCAACAGGCGGCTTTCATCGAATGAAAATGCATGAAATGATTAATGAAAAAACGCCTTTTATAACAGATTTAGGACTTTATCAATTTCTCAAGAACCTATTCGAAATGAAATACGTTCTATCAATCACAAAAACAGAATTTGTCTTGTATATGTGGATGACGTTATAATATTCTCATTCCTTTAGATTTAGATGATAATGTAACAAATTTGAAAAATGTTTTCCAAAGAATCCAAGAGTTTAATTTGAAAGTTTAACTAGACAAAATCGAATTTATGAAACGAGAAGTCGAATTTTCAGGAAATGTTCTCATCACAATAGAAATGAAACCTGACCCTCGAAAATTAAATTCAACACTCAAATTTCATATTCTGAAAGCATATAAAGACATTGAAAGTTTCTTTGGTCTTAATCCGGCAAAAATAATAATCAAACTCTTTGCCTTAAAAACGGGAAGAAAGATTTTCTTGGAACTTTTGAAGTATGCAAACAAACTTGATGTAACGAACAAATTTTCAAAAACATTCACTCTCACAGCAGTGGCTAGTGAATTTTCAATAGGGTCAATACTTTATCAAAACGAAAAACACGTTTGTTTTGCCAGTCACACACTTAATCCAAACGGAATCAATTACTTCGTAGTTGAAACAGAATTATTAGCAATCTTTTGACCCGTGGAATATTTATGACCTTATTTATTTGGACGACATTTCAAAATCAGATTATAGGGTATAGCCGACATTTCTCTGATCGAATAATTTGAATTCTATCATAAAAATAATGAATTATTAATATTCCAAAGAACAAATTGTTGATTTCAAAAATCTAAATAATTATTGTGCATTCATTGGGAGTACAGTAAGTCTTTACTAACGAGAGAGTGATTTTGCTTATATACTTTCCAGTACTGATGCCCATTATACAGTGTCACCATTAAAGTGCGAACCATATGGGAAACTTTTTTTTCGAAAAGTTTCAATGAAGTTTAACTTCGGCACTTGTTTGTGCTTTAAATTCAACTTGAAATGATGCGGCCAACTGCGACCCACTGACGTTCAGTGTTTGTCAAATTCAATTTTTTTTTTGAAAAAAA